AGCAATAGTTCAGGTAATAGTAGACAGGGCTGAAAAGGAAAGTGATCTTCCGTGGAGTTGAGCGTGCTTTCATCTGAAGCGTCGTGGTTGTGGCACCGCCACGAAATGAAGTCTAGCGCAGAATTTCCATGGCGGGGGGATTCGAGCGCATATGTCGAGATCAGGAGCAAGGGGCTTAGGAGAGGCAGACGAGATGCGATCGAGTCTGAGCGTCTTGTGAGAGAGTGACAGGCGAGAGATTCGACAAGCGAAGCGCGGATGGAGGGGATGGGCGACCATGGGCAAGTTATGAACAGCGATTCGTTCTGGTCACACGATATGTAAGGGTTGTACGTTTGTGAGTTGTGGTGGGCGAGAGAATGGAGCTTGCCCGGAGAAGATATGAGAAATAGCATTCCGCACGCGAGGTGCACGATCTATTCGAGTGTCGGTATAAGGAAATGTTCGAGGTGTTAATGTGAGAGGAGAGTTCGTGTGGTGTTGCGAGAGAGAGGCGTGAGCGTTGGCAAGTGTGCTTAGAGGACGCAGACAGAAAGTAGTAGATGGAATACTCTGGACCTACACTTATCGAGAGAGGCCCGGTCTACTAGGGAGGTGGAGAGTCGCGATAAAAGAATATAAATATATTCCATGCTAAGTGTACTTTACATTAATTTCTGAGAACAGATATGTACCAGCGCCCTTTTGGGCATCTGAAGAACAGCAAGGTGCAAAAGCAGCTGTACAAACGTCTCATGGGCTTTCCTTTGGCACGACGAATGAAGAGACGGCCTGTGAACGCAGCGTCGCAGAACTAAAGCATAAACAAGCGATGGGCGTATGGATATGATGCAAGAAGGCGGGCCATGCGGAGACGAGGACACGATCGTCTACATACTCTACACTGTTTTGAGCACCCGTTGTAACTGCCCCGTCAGATTGAGAGGTGTAGATCGTTACAAACTCTATTAACTGTCTGTTCTCTGAGATAAAATTGAGACAATTCGGGCCACGTCAGACCATTTACACGTTTTCGATGCACTGGAAGGTACACACGCGATAGAGAAAGCGCGTTTAGCCAAAGACCGTCTATCGTAAACCTTTAATGGCATTTCCGTGCGTGCAGCGCCTTGCTCGACCCAATGGCCGCGACGCGGACGGAAGGGGGCAGATCGAGTGGGACGGTGGTGGTAATGCAACGCACGAGACCCTAGGCGAACAGAGGGCGGGGCCGTTGGTGGCCGAGGACGAGAGCGCGCCAGGACGCTAGGCGAGAGAGCCTGCCCGAAGAAAGTCAGAATAATTTTCAAATTTCTATATATAAGCGTTACTCGCGCACCGAGCCCGTCAGAGCGACCATGGATGCGACGAACATACGCATAGATTCCTAGGTTTCCGCGTCTGTCTTAGTTGTGCCGGTAACTCGGAGAGACGAGAGCACTACAGAGAAATGTGCAGCCCTAGAAAGGCTTAGCATTGCAGATGTCTGTAGCATATACGTAACAAAGTCATCTCCACCGAGAATAGCTGCTTGGCTGCAAAAATCCACGCGGGAGAGAGCAGACATCATCAGTATTTATCCAAAATCATCCCCTATCACCCACATGCACAGAGCGTCTCCGCGGGCCTGCAGAACTTGATGCTCTCCTCGACCTTTTCGTCAATCGAGGTAACAGATTTTTTAAAGGAAGTGAAATCACATTTTTTAAGAAGCGCGGGCTGTGGAAAGAGCCCGAGCGAGCCAACGTGGAAGAAAAGAGTGACGGAAGCGGGGAAGGTCAAGAGTGACTCACTGGGGTCCAGTCGAAGAGCCATACATTTTCTAAGGTGCGAAAGGGACCCTCTTTCCCTTATTAAATTCGTAACAACCTAGGGGCAGATGTAATACGTCGGCGGGAAAACCCATCGTCCATTAGTATTCGACACGGCAAATTCTTTGTGGAAAATATATTGTTTTATATCAAAGAGAAAGAGGTGAGGATCGGTCGCACCCATAGAGAGGATATAACCCTCTAGGGAAATATTGCGAGCGATTATTATTGAATGAGAGAAAAACTCCATATTAGGTTGGCATAAATAACTACTTTGGCGGGGCGGAGTCGAGGAAATATGTACTTATTCAAAAAAGTGATAAAAACGGTTAACAGGAACTAGTAGGCCTACTATTACACGATAGAACAGAATAAAAAACATCCTTATCCCTGTTAGTTCGCAAAAATCCTATTTAGTATATCCATGCATTCAACCCTATCCAATATTGAAAGTGAATTATGGATTTGTATCGCAAGTTGAACTTTCTTTTAATAATTCACAATGAGGATTTATGTGATGAGAAAAATAGAGTCATTTTGAATATTATTTGTATTTTTGAACACGTCAATCGTCGTTTTCGGCTACCAATAAAAAAAAAAATGTATATTTTTACAAAAAACACACATTCCCAATTGCATTTCAGTTCACTCAACATAAGTGTCCCTCTTTACACACCCAACCTTTTATCTTTCTAGTAGACTTATTGATCACAATAACCAAAAGCGTAGGGGAGTAATAAACGAATAATATATAATAGTAGTCACTGAATAAATAAAAGAAATCTGCGCGAGTGTAAAAGGAAAAAGAAGTTTTCTCTCGAAAAATAGGAAATCCTCACAAAACGTCCGTGGGCCTGAATATAACAAATAAAACGATACATAACACAGTTCACGGCGATGGGTATGCTCATTCTGTAGTCAATATGCAAAAAGGTAAATATTTTTCATGATAAATAAAATTCACTTCTTCACACACTTTACTCTGCAAAAAAACTCCACAAATGGACGAGTCATTAGGTTTAACCTAAGAGGTCCAATAAAATATATGCTAACGGGGAATCGATTAACGTAAGCTATTTTGACAAATTATTTCGAAAACATCAAATTTGAGTTTTTATATCACGATACACCAACGCACAAACAGGTTCCAGGAAACTGCATAAACACCTTTGCGGCTATCAACAATGAAAAAGTGTTACAGAGAGAGCGAAAAGTACTTTAGATCCTTGGCGAGTATAGTACGAGCGCTTGGATTGAGTGTTAAATCGAAGAAAGTGGCAGGAGCACAATACACACATATGAGAGAGAGAAATAAAGGTTGTAGGGAAATTCATGAATACCGGTTTGATAAAAATGCGAATATTACATTCATAAATAAAAAGTCACTTCGCGTGAACTTGGATAGATTTATTTCGCAAGAAGCCGGAACAAAATTTTGACAAAACTTCTCGAGGAACGACGATGCAAGTTAAAATCACACAATTTTAATAAGGAGATCACAAAATACAAATATTAAATAAATACTTTAGTCAAGGTCCAAAATCCACCACGTAATGATCAAAATGAAGTCGAGCGCGGGTTAATATCACTGTGGAAGCAATAGAATGGAGGATTACCACATTAATAAATAATTCAGGCAGTCGCAAACCCGCATTTTTTATAATTATTTGGAATCATGGAACCGAGATTATGATTATAGACAAAAGTGAAAAATTTACAAAATCACTCTTAAATTCACATGAGGGATTAAAATATAGAAAATAGGTAGTTCTTTTAACATCTATCACATTAGTGGTATAACGACCAGATGGTATTTGTCATAAATTATCAAAATATCGAAAAGTAATTAACATTAAGATTAAATATCAGCATATACAGGAAAAAAGTTGCAAAAAAAGTATACCAGAAAGAAGACGTGGATATGGTTAATGTATTAGTAATCTAAAAAATCCAATAACAAAATAAATTACACGCCAAGGCAAGGAGGGTGTGAAAGAAAACAGACGTACAGCAGCTCTTGGTGGGATGACGTATGCATAACCATAAAGTTCAACAATTAGTAAATGAGAAGAAGGTTTACAAATCCAAGCCGTTTAGGTTAAGGGTTAATACATTCATACCACAGAGTTGACTTGATTCTTCAGTGTTCAAATAATGAATAATGTGGTTGAGGAGCAATTTGCATAAATGTTTGACACCAAGTACTTCCTGAATATTTATATAACAGTTAGCGCCGCTAAAACATTGAAATATGATCATATAAATGAGGGAGAGAGGAGAATTTTATTTCTCGCTATACAGAGTTCGAGATATGACAGGCCTGGAAACATGCTGTGATTATCACATCGACAAGCTGTCTAACTTAATTCAGAATTTGATAGAATAATGCAGAACAGCACCATAAGATGTTCACATTCTTCACAACCTAAAATCTCCTAGAAAGACATTGGCCCAACTCTCCAAAGCAAGTACTGGTGGGCGGTCCTTCTCAGAGGCACCGGCAAAATAGCGCCTTCTTTTCGCATTGTTGGGAGCTTAGCTTAGGTTGTTCGTAAAACCCGAATTCCATAATGATTTCATATCAAAAGTAGGGGGGGCCGTCTAGACCAACAGAGTAGTCCCCCAGACTGAGACGAAGAAGAGAAATGCTTGAAAACGAGAGGTAGGTATGTTACAATTACATACGAACTGAAGGAAATCTACACAGATGTTACGAGAGCAGAGCACGGTTTCTGAAAGCGGCCCTCTTTAGAGGCCTGCTTTTCAGAAGATGAAAAATTATCATGCGCGTAGGAAAAGAAAAAAATTGGAGCGCTCCAAAAGCCATCACATAGATTTTCATGGGTCCTCCGGGCCTAAAGTGAGGTCCGCTTGTTGCAGAGCCGGCACGTTTGGAGCGCGCCAAAAAGGATGAAAAAGAGTCAATCGCTATCACTGACAGATTGTTGCGGGCTGTTTTCAAACAAGATGAACCGTTCTCCGGACCGAGTCCTCCGCTCTGAACTCCTCGCTGACCCATGCTGCTCATCGGCGTGAATCTGTGAAGTTAGAGGCCGGAAAAAATTGGGATACACTCAATTCCAGGCGACTGAGATTGAGACGGAAAGCTTAAAGCAATTTAAATTTATTACCCTGGGTAATAACTTTAGAACCGAATCCTCAGTGGATGACGGCTTAAGGGAAATAGAGAAATGGCATTCCAATAACAAAAGAAAAATAATATATTAAAGATTATCGTACAAATTACAATGAAATTGCCCTATATAAAACACTCCTGCTAACCCTTTTCCTTTGAAAAATACTCAGCTCTTTACCGGGCAAGGACAAAAAAAAATACACAAAAGCCACCGCGTGATGCGCAGGCTTGTCGACCTTCCGTCCGTGACAATTACTGTCCAGCATGGCCTGGACTCAATTTTAACCGCGGTCGTCGTGGCGACCGTGTGCCTACAGCAGCGCCGAGATCGGTCTGGCCCTTACTCTCCGGACATCTCGCACCACACCCCTAACTCCCTCGTACATCACCGTACAAGCTCCCGATGCTAACTGACATGAGAACGGGGGCCGCAAGATGCCCTGCGTTAAATAGTTGAGGCTGACAAAACCCCCCCACGCACTGTCACATTTGATAGGCCTCGCTGCAGCAGCTGGTTTAACGCCCCCCACACAGGAATTTCAGGTTGACAACGCATAAGCGAGGCTCGCTGGCCTAGCATTCCGGGGAAGATTTAAACAGCCTGACGGGATTTTTGGCTCTGCGGCTCTACCTGAGTAACCGCCAGAGCGCAAAACTCCCGGAAAGTGTCCGGCTCAAACTCCTTCCCTCCCCCGGCAGCCGTACTTTCCCCACCCGACCTACACGTTTGGCCCTCGGTGTTAACGACGCCACACCAGTCTAAGAAATAGAATGCCAAGAAATATAATAGACATCATTCTTGATTGTTATAGTTAGAAAGATTTAAAATAGATGTAAACAAATTCAAATACAATCTGTATTTTTTGAAAATGTAAGGACCAAACCTTTTTCGTTCCAAATTAATTAAAAAAATGAGTATTTTACTACTTCAATTTTTCTTAAATTTGATTAATGTAAATTTAGGGAACTTGTCTTCGCAAGAAAGTTATTCGTTTCATTCATGTACAATTAATATTGTTCAATGACAATACCGTCTTTTTGTGTAATTATTGAGCATTTTTAAGTTTCATTCTGAAATGGAAACATATTTTATTTTATAGATGTGCAAAAGGTGAGGAAAGTGTTATGCAGGTCTTATAGTCAAAAGTATATAAAAACAAAATTCAATTCAACCTGATTAACCAGTTATCTGTAGGAAATGGTTCCAGTGTTGAAGTTCTGATTGCTCCATGCAACTAACCCTGTTTAACATACTATATAGAATTTGTGCCTTTAGGAGGTAGAACTGGCGCATACTTCAAATAATATCATTCAATTTGAAAATCGTTGAATAACTCTCTCCAATTTCACCCGTTAACAATATACTTGACAAAGACCATGAAATGAGTTAAAATTAAGTGTATTTCATAATACTAAAAATGATGCGAAGAAAACGTTATGCGAAGAAAAGTACATAACGGATAATTAAGTGCAAATGTTCAAAAAATTTCAGAACCTTACTTCAGTTCATGCCATTTTGTTAATCTAATGATTTTCTGCTGAAAATGTTTAATAAAAATCAGTAAATGATTGCTATCGCTAAACCGGCCTAGGGACGTTGGAGGAAGCAGATTAATATTAATAGAGGAAAAAAATTATTTTAGTCACTGGCAATTGTTTTGTTTTTAATAATCTTTTTCCCACCTATTTTACAGGCTACTAAATTATGACAATCATACATTAATTTGGTGAACAAAATATCATATTAAAAGGTTGTTGGTGAAAATTTTCTAAGTCACCAATATAGATTGCCATTTCTGTCGTTAGTCAACTGCAGATTACCTTGCCTAAACAGAGAGTTTACTCACTAAGAACATTATTTTAGGTGTTACGAAATTCCTAGCCTTGCAGTCGGAGATTGCTTTATACCTATTGCAAGTAGTGGCTTCCCCCTTAAAATTATGCGATGACGACTTCCCCTGCCCAAGACCAGCTAGCAACTGTATTCGTATTCGCTTTTGTGCGGAACAAAATTACACCTTGACAGCTTGCCCGAAGACAGCCAGTCAGCAGACTTTTGAAGACCCAAAGTTTCTGGGTCGCTTGAGGGACGCCCAACGTCATTACAAAAACCACTTTCTTGCTACACGTTACAGGGAAACTATAAATTGTGAGGCTCCGCCGTCTGACCGTAGAGTTTAATGAAGCTGACGAACCCCCAAGTCTCAGGTGAACAACGGATGAAGCCTGTCATGCTCCTTGGTTCGCGTCCGCACGTCTAATGACATGGCTTTCTCCATAAAAAACAAGATCAAAAAGGAAATGTTAACGGTTTTTCAACAAACTCCTTGTCAAGTTTTGTAAAAAAAATAGTTGTGATGCTGATAGAGAAATCATTCCCGTGTTCATACAACGTTGAAACCACTTAATTGAGATGGTTCATGTGAATGCCCAGCCAGGTAATAAACATTTTCAAAAACAGTAAATACTCTATTCCGGCGATCTCGAGGGTAAGTTTGTAAGTTTCTGATCTATTCACTGAGACGGATTTTAAAAAAGGAGAAGAAATGATCTCCATAAATCTCTTAGAAGAAAGTAATATATTTCTGAAGTCGCTACTGAAAACTTCCCAATTCTAAATGCAAAAATACCCTAAAGACAACGAAATTACATTTCGATGGAAAACACGAAAAAACTAATGAATCATCTTGTGTGGAGTAGTCGGTTCAAGAATATTTACAACGATATTTGCCATTATTGGTCAATTAGAAAATACCCAAAGACTAATACTTAATTGCCAAGAGTTTTTTAAGTAAAAAACGATAATGGTATTTAATTTTTCCAACCCCCAAAGTTTAAACTTCAATTGTCCTTAAGATGTCTCCTGGACTAGCTATAGGAGATAAACTTTCCTTGTCACAAAATTAATCGTAGTGAAGTTCTTTATCTTCTTACAAAGAAATGTGCCAGTGGAATGTCCTAAATATTAACTTTTACGGTGTGCGGGCATTACCTGACTTAACCTTCCCTATTCCAGCTACCTTATCGTCTACTAAATGTTTTGTTATCTATAACTAACAAAATTGTTTCCTCCTTTAAGTTTATATAATTAATTTATGATGCATTCAATTTTATTGCCTTTTGGTTTCATTTAAACAAATAATCAGGCCGACGCTGAGTTGTATCTCTGCATCGGTTAAACCAATTATCCATGTCTGAACTCCAAGGTAAATTGTGAAACGTGCACGTCACTGGGTAAAACACTATAAATAACATACAAAAATGTAATTCTAATCAATTAGAACCACGAAGAATTCAGGCAATTTTGGAATACAGAAAGCACATTTTATCGATGCACAAGAAAAGTACCTCTCCAAAAGTTGTCCATTCTTTGTGGAGACCAAGCTTTGAAAAATCTAGATTGAGTCGTTTTAACCTTTCCCACGCCACATAAGACCTTAAAGCCCTGGTGTATTAGATGGTTGAACTGGCGATTTGTGAAGGTATCTTTATGAAATTTTTACTGGTAAAATGAACCTTTCTTTTCTGGGACCAAGGTCTTCTGTACCCATCACTAAAATATGACGATCTAATTTAAGCATGTCGCAGATTGCGCTAGCATGAAGCTACTTTCCGCCTGAGAGCCCCGGCGCCTGCTTACGAAGCACGACCTTTGAACGCCTCTTGACTTCGATCTCATTACCCCAGCCTAAAATACACAAGGGGATGTAGACGCGCGCCCAAGACAACCCGGGGGGTGAGCGTGAACCATGCTAACGAAAATATGTTTGGGCCAGATTGTTAACATCAAAAAACCGAAGATTTGAATATGATTAATTACTTTTACTTTTTATTATCATTCATGTTTATTTATTCCCTTGTATTCATTTTCTTATGTTTATTAAATAATCAGTTATTTGTAGTATGTACACCATAACGAGGAAAATGATTAACACTTCGTAAGTTAACAATTCTCGGGAACGAGAATAATGCTGACAAACCATGTAACCATGAAGCATAGAACGTTAAAGGGCAGATTATTCTCCTCAAAAATTAGAAAGTGGTTAAATAATAAGATTCTTTGGAATTAAATTATTTAATTGTACTCTCAAATTGTCAATTTGAAATATGACTTTTATTCCCCCCCCGCAACTGCCGTATCCGTTTGTCTTCGTTCTCTCCACTCTTCTCCGTCAACGCCTCTCTGTGTTCCACGCCTCTTAGTCCTGGCCAACCTCCTCACACAATTCGCCGGTAACCCTTCCAGCCCTACCTGCTTGTCTGTCCTCTCCGCCTCTCCCTTCCTATCTGTCCTCTCTCCATCTTCTGTCACGCCTATCTGTCCTCTCCGACTCTTCCTCCCCGCGTCTCTCCCATTCTCTCCCTCCGCCTCTTCCCATGCGCCTCCCTTCCCGCCTCTCTGTCTTCTCCGCCTCTCAGATCTCCCCTTCTCTCTTTGTTCTCCCCACTCCGTATGTCCTTTCAATCTGTTTTCTACCCTCTCTGCCCTCTTCAGGGCTTCATGCCCCTCACAGTACTCCCTAGCCCATTAATTCCTCCCTGACTTTTACTCTTCCTATCCTTTTAAGTTCTCCTCGCCACTGTCTTCCCCACCTCCCTCAGCCCTCCCCACCGCTCGCCGGCCTCTCTAACCCCTTTCTCTCCTCTCTCTCCATCATCTCTTGCAGACTCCTCCCGACTCTCTCCACCTCGCACCCTCACCTCACCCTACTCCACCGCACGACCTCCGTTACATACCTCCCCTTCCTATTCTGGGCAGACACTCGAAGACACCGCGACCCGAGAAACGATTTCCAGCGAGCGCCAGGGCAGTGATTGGACGAATGGCGCAACGCGATGAGGTAGAGCGCGGGAATTCATGATCCCGCGTCCGCTCCGAAGCTCCGATGATTGCAATCTGCCGGGGAAATCGGCAGCTATTTTTCTTTATCTTCATCGGACCATCGTGCTTCGGCAGCTGTCGTGCAGGTGCGGACGCTCGTAAGGTTGGAAATAGGTCGACATATACGTCGGAGTCTGTACAGTGCAGCCCTGCCCAAATGGAAAAGGACATGAGAATGGAAAAAGTATACCCAATTCGTGATTACTGCATATGTATGATATGATTTATGTAATTAGTATTTCCAGTTTAATGTTCAAATATTGCAATAGACACAAGGTATTCTTTATCCTAAAATTTCATCCTTGTTGATATTTTTATTGTTTACTAAGCTTAGGATACCCTTTACCAATCAGCCTATAATAACACAGGCATATAAAATTAATAAGTTGTCCAACTCAATGACTTGACACATATTTCTCTACGTATGTCGACGCGCGTCCAAATCTTAAGGTACAATTGCAACACCACCCTCCAGTTTTATTTAAATCGCAAAAAAACACTACGAAATTGTAAATTGTAAAAAAATTGCAATTGATGGGTAGGGTCGCAATTCTGGCTTCAGTTTCGGATTCAGAGCGTCGACATACATAGAGAAACATGTGTCAAGTCTTCTTATTTGCGTGCCTGTGTAATGATTAAATCCAGTTGAGCTCAATTATCTTCAAAATTCTTAGGACACGTTTGAGTCAAAGAGTGAGTTAATTTGTTTATCGAACGACTACGGAAATATCCCCACAGAAGTTACCAGTGACTTTATAGACTCTATTACATAATGCAAACATCTCTATAATTTCCTGAAAATCTGGGTGTTTATCGTAACAATATTAGTAATTTTGTAAGAATTGTAATAAATTGTTGGTAAAAACAAATATTAGTAAAATTCTTGAAATATTATAAATTAAAACATTATGTTCTCAATTATTTTTAAACTAAAGGAAAGCACTTATCTCCACAACCAACATTTTACGTATATACCAAATTCAGAGAATCTGAAAACATAATTTTCATTCGATTCCTTTTTCTAGTCATTCCCTATCGAGCAAAATTTGAACGGTTGCAGGATTATCGACATTTTGACAGCTAGGTCGAGTTCAGTCACTGACTGGAGAAGAATTCTAGGGGCCGGCAGCTCTGATCGGTATCTGATCGGTATTTTTCCGTGGTTTCTCTGATGAACACCAGGCAAAAATCGGAGCAGCACCATAACAAATGGGCCACATACTGCGTGCAATCTTTCCTTCCTCTTTCTTGTATTTTCACCTCTTACTTACTTACACACACACATACACTTACTTACACTTCACAACCACACATGCTGACAGTCCAGTCAAGAGCTTAGAGCTCGATCCGGCTGGGGCGGTTTCCCACTGGTGGGAGATACCTGGTTTGGGAAAAACCTGCAATCCGAAGTGTAGGTCTGCGACGAATCTCGCCATCCAGCGGGAGAAGATCACCGCCAAATCCCTCAATAAAAACACATCCCTCAATAAAAATATACATTTCCGCGACTAATAACAGCCGTTTACGCGAACTGTATCACTAAACAATCAGTCAATTAAAGCTTCCGAAAGCTATAAAGTATCATTCACTGTGAAAGATCCTTGCAGTGTTCCGCTGACCTGCAATTCCCGGTCGCCGCTGTCTGATCGGCACCGCAGCCGCATCCGTCCTTCCCCTCTCCGCTCCTCCCCTTCCCCCTCTTTCCACGCCTTCACCAAACGACCGCGAGCGCCGCCGCTAAGCCGCGGCCGCCCCGCCCCCTCCCGTCCGCCCAGTGTACACAGCGGTGTTTTTAGTCGGATTCCGCGCGGCTGTGAATACAAATGGCGATAGACGAAATGATTTCCGAGTCGGCCCCGCTAATCCCGCGCCGGGCGCCCGGCGCCGCCGTAATCTGGCTGTAATGGGCCGCTCGGCGCTCTTTACCGTTTTTGCTCCGCCGCCCGCCGGCGCGGCCCCCGGCGCACCCGAGGTGGGACGCTGGGGGATTGGTCAGCGGGGGGAATGGGGCGAAGCGATATGGAGCGCCGCCGCAGGGAAATGCAGAGCGGAGAACAGCGAGGTGGAGTGGGACGGGGTGGAGTGGGACGGGGTGGAGTGGGACGGGGTGGAGTGGGACGGGGCGGAGTGGGACATGCTGATGACCTTACCAGTAACTTGCGAAGCTGTTGTTTCCCCAATATTTTGTTTTATTTAATTTTGCACAAAGGTGGAAGTTACTTTAAACTGTAATAATATAAAATGTTCACAAAGCATTAAAACGTTTTTGAAATAGATATCCAATGATTATAAATTCGTGAAAATGTATGAATGGTTACTTTTAGAGTGAAAAATAATACAAAACTGATATCCTGCCCAATTGAGGAATTTTTGCCCTACTTCCTCCCAACGTGGAGTGCGTGTTAGGCCCAGGGCGAGGGGGATGTGACAGATCGGATCGTGGCGTGTTGCGGGGAGGCGAGGTACGGGCGGGCCACACGATGAGGTCGATGGGACTGGTCGATGCTGGAAGGGCCCAGGCCGGGCGGGTTAGCAAGTGACAGATCTGGGCACGATTAGGCCGACGCGAGAGCGTGGAGGACGAAGCAAACTCTTCAGAAAATATTTAGAAGGGGCCCCATTGTAATAAAGAAAAATGCGCTGTGGTTTAGAGAAATAATATGTTAATTGAATGTATTTATAATAGATATTCAATGTTTACATTACATGTTTAATTTTCAAAATGTGTACATATTGGAATTTACAAATCGAAACGATATTTCAATAAATATTTTTTAAAGTTACATCATCTACTAGAGGGTTTTCATTTTATACTTTGAGCCATTCTTCAATATATTATATTTTATATTTGTTAATATTAAAGTAATACAGAGTAATATATACTGTGAAGAATATTTATAATTGTCTAAAAAGTCTTGTAGTTCTGTTCAGGCATAGCCCGCAACTCTCACTCTAGAGCCAACAATTAACAAATACATTAACAAAAAGTACTTCTATATTATTCATTCCATCCACTCAATTCTATTCCGTTCATGAATAATGTCCACAACACCGCATCAGCGTTCTCACAATAGCCGAAGGTCGGAAATGATTAGGGGTGAGCGTTGGCCCAAGCAAGTGGCCAGAGCCAAGGAGCAAAGAGGGGTGGGGCCTGGATGAGCGGCGGCCCGGCAGCCTGTGACAGTCGCGAACTGAGCTCAACCCTTCCACAAGTGTAGAAAAGAGATAAGAGTCCACAAGAGATGCTAGGCATGCATGTACTGTGCATTGTTCCTATAACGGCGATAAAATGTGATTTGGATGTAATGTAGAGGCCATAAAGTGATGGAAACTGAATTACAACTGGACAAAGCCGAATGATTTGTCACAAAATCAGAATGTCGAATGCTCAGATGACAAATATTTATCATTGACATTTTTAATTGATTATTGTAGTGTTTGTACCCATTATAGTCTTTAGTGTATTATTGTCTTGAGCGATGCATTATAGTCTTATTGTCTTTAGCGATGAAAACCATTCAATTGTTACTTAAATAACTGAGATCCATGGGGCGATATTGAAGTAAAAAATTGGACTTTTTATGTGCTCTAAATGTAAGTTTGACATGGTCGTAAACCAATAGATATTGTCTCTTAAATTTATCGCCTAAACGGATCCATTTTTCATCGATGTGAATATATCTTTATACTCTATTGAATAATGAAAATCGATGTACTTCTGCTAACATTTTCTATTTGCGAACAAATTGTTCTTTTACTTTCTGTAACTCTAGTATAGCGTCTATATTTTTCTTACTTTCTACATGTAATGGACCCCTGGAATGTTAACTGTACCAAAGCGAGTATATTTTATACAGTTGGTGATGTAAAAATGATGCATATGTGCATATTTTCTCTCTGTAAGCATTTAGTATATAAATAACAATATATTTTATGTGGTTATCTGAATAACGTTCTTATTCTTTAATTGGTGTTGATCTTTTAGTAATTATTTTGTATTTAAAACAAAAGTAAAAATTAAGTTATAAATAAATCAGTTTAATTTGTATTTAAAATACCCTAAATAATTATTCCATGTAATAGCACACAAAAACGCTGTGTCCAATTATATTGTCATTAAATTACATAGTAGTAATTTATAATTCTAGGCGCTGCCAATAATAATTTTATTATTTTATTGCGCTTACTTATTCTCCATTTCACAATTACGTGCGGGAAAAAAATCTTATTGTTTCTAGAAGATGAAGAAAGGCATGCAGTTATAGGTGTTGTTAGTGTAAAATAAGACCGTTGCGAAATGAAACACCTTGTTTTTCAGTAAGCATTCATTTCCGCTCTAAAACAAGAACCGCGTGTGACCCGGAGATCGACTAAACTAACTTGATTCTCCTCTTAGTAAATCTCAAAAAGGTTTCATTGAGTGTGGAAGTCATCAATGCCTATTCTCAATATAGTTAAAATGACCGTCAAAGTTTGCAACAAATTAATTCGTGATTGGGTCAATTTCATATGTTTTTACGGTACTTACACTTCAGAAATAAAGATCTCTGCGAAGATAATGCAACAGTTTAATTGAATAGTGAGGGAAATTGCATCTTCTATACGTAATCAACCAATATTTTATTTGTAAATTATTGGCATTATCCTATTAGCTACCATCTTGTATTGACTCATCTGCATCTACCATCATTTTCGTCATCGCCTCTATTAAAGAAGTATCCTTTACAATATCTAATATTGATTCTTTCATTGCAGTTATCACCATTACTGTCTTAGCCATTACTGGCATAATACTACTCAATATACTCTCATCATTACAATCATTTTGATATTCCTTTGCGCCATTACATCATTGTCGTGTTCTGTCCCAAACATCTTACAGATGACAGCTGTAAAACTAAATATAAAATATATATGCATTAATATAATTGTTTTTTCTTGCTATTACCACACGTCGTAACGCCAGTACTATAGTCACACAATAGAATAAACGTAGCGTCGTCATCGAGATAAATACTTGTTACCACGAAACGATTTGCACGGCCGCGTCTGTCTTTTCTCACCCAGCATTAGCATCAGCAGGATGCCATCACATATCCCGCACGAAGTCTTATCTTATTACCCAGCCCCCATTACAGGCATCTTTCCTAAGCCAAGCCTACATGTGGGCGCCTAATTCCCTGGCGCTCGCTTGGTCCATATAATCCCCCTCGCTTGCGCCCCCTTCCCCGACGCACACTCCCCTCCCCCGCGCCGGACCCTCCACCGCCCTTCTGTGCCTCTAGAGAGGAGAAGAATGACCCTGATTCAGCCGCGCCGACCGCTATTCACCGACTTCTTCGCTTCTCCAACCCGCCAGG